TTCAGCTTGGCTTCTGAGATAGAAAATAATAGTATAATTCTGTACACTAATTTTAAAATTATTAAGAGAAAGATATTCCATTCAACATGCAAAACAAACATGTGTGACTCAGTTCTTCTGGCATCTAGGGATAATACTGTTACCCGTCCTCCCAAAAAATAGAATGGGGGGGGGAACACATAAATCAGAAGAGGGGATAACTTTAAAATGCCATACAAAATCACAACAGAAGAAGCAAAGTAACATGCAGATCTTCACGAAATCATTTTCTTATTTGAATCACTGATTTCGAGTAACAGTCTAGACGACACCAATGGTTCTCAAATTTTAGTGGGTTCCAGAAACACCTGATAGGCTTGTTAAAGCACAAATTGGACCCCACTGAAGTTTCTCATTTAGTAGATATGCGATGGCACTCAATAGTTTTCATTTCTAACAAGTTTCTAAGTGTCCAGACTTTGAGAATCACTAACTAGACCCTTCTATGGTCCATTAACTTTCCTTGGCATTCACCTAATCTTCATCTGGGAAAAACCGGGGGCTAAGAATGGCTCCAGTTTACATTTCTCAGAGTAGTCAAATTTTTAAAAATTATTTTTTTCCTATTCTTTCTGTGTTATATATATGATCCTCTTAACAGTATTACTGTGTTCATGATATGCAGATTAGATTTTTGAAGTGACTTCCTGACTGGAGTTTCTTTTACTAGGGAACTAAGTGAAGAAGTGGAATTAAGCTACTTCTGGAAGTAACTTTTGTTAAATAAACTATACCTAAATGTACATAGTATTTTTAATTCATTCAAACACATACCATATGCAAGCATCATGCTAGAAGCTAAAAAGGTAAATGTGGACAAAAACATATAGGGTCTCTGCTCTCATGGAATTTAAGAATCTACTGAGGGAGACAGATAATCACCTGAAAATATAATTAAGTTGATGAATGCTCCAAGTAAAAGGTGCATGGTAGTTGTAATGTAACAATTTATGAAAAAGTGATTTCCAGGGTAGCTAAACATTTTACATTTCTACTGCAAATGTACAGAAGTGGCTCTCCGTAATCATCAGCATGTGGTATCACCAGCTATTCTAATAGGTGTTCAGTGGTATCTTGTCAGAGTTTTAATTTGCACTTCCCTATTAACAGACAATGATGCTGAACATCATGTGCTTATTTATTATCTATACAGCTTCTTTGATGAAGTGTCTGTTAAGTCTTTTGCCCATTTTCTAATTGGATTATTTTTTCCTAATAAATTTTGCCAGTTCTTTATATATTCTGAACATAAGATTTCTGTTGAACATGTTTGCAAATATTTTTGGTTTATGGCTTGCCCTTTTATCCTCTTTAACAGGGTCTTCTAAAGAATTTTTAGTTTTTAGTTTTTACAAACTTAAACTTTTTTTTTTTTTTTTTGAGACAGAGTTTCGCTCGTTACCCAGGCTGGAGTGCAATGGCGCAATCTTGGCTCACCGCAACCTCCGCCTCCTGGGTTCAGGCAATTCTCCTGCCTCAGCCTCCTGAGTAGCTGGGATTACAGGCACGTGCCACCATGCCCAGCTAATTTTTTTTATATTTAGTAGAGACGGGGTTTCACTATGTTGACCGGGATGGTCTCGATCTCTTAACCTTGTGATTCACCCGCCTCGGCCTCCCAAAGTGCTGGGATTACAGGTTTGAGCCACCACGCCCGGCCAACTTCAAATTTTTAAATGAATTTTAATGTCAGTTGGCCTAACCCTTGCTCAAGATTTCCTGTTTGCTTCTAAGTTTTAGTTTTAGATGTTACAGTAAGAACTATGACCCATTCCCATTTTGAGTTAATTTTTGTTTTAGAGACACGGTTTTGCTCTCTTGCCTAAGCTAGAGGGCAGTGGTATGATGATAGTTCACTGCAGCCTCAAACTCCTGGTCTCAAGTGATCCTTCTGCCTCAGCCTCCCAAGTAGCTGGGACAAAAAGCATGTGATACCATGCTCAGCTAATTTTTAAAAATTTTAGAGACAAGTTCTCACTATGTTGCCGACCCTCCTTTCAAACTCTTGGCCACAAGCTGTCCTCCCATCTCAGTCTGCAAACTAGCTGAGATTACAGGCACGAGCCCCCATGTCCAGGGCATAAAAGTTTTTATAAGGTAGGATTTGGTTGAGGTTTTTCCTTCTTGGCTACAACTGTTCAATTGTTCCAACACTATTTGTTCAAAGTTCAATTTTTCCAATATAATCCATCTATTTCTTATGTACCTTTATCAAAAATTAGTTTTTCATACTTGTGTAAGTCTATTTCTGTGCCTATATTCTGTGTCTATCACTGATCTGTGTGTCTATCACTACCAAAACCACACAATCAGTACCAATATCACAGTCCTGATTACTGTACTTATGTGTAGTATCTGGTTGTGTGATTTCCCCAACTACATTGTTATCAAATTGCTTAAGATATCCTAGTTCCTTTGTTCTTCCATGTATTTTAGAATTAGATTCATTTTGGTTCGTTAGAAACATAATCGTTCAACAAAGAATCCTTCTGGGATTTTTACAGAAATTTTTCATAGGAATTTTTATAGTAATTGTATTAAACCCATAAACTTGAGGCAACTTAGATAATACAGTCTTCCAATCCATATAAATGGCATGTTTTGGACTCTTTAAACATTTACAATCTATTTTCTCTTTGAAGCTTGCTACCTGGAGGATTCATCTGAATGATAAAACCTTGGTCTCCACAACCCCTGATTGTATACCAGATATCCCTTTCTATTGATAATAACCAATTGCCAATCAGAAAATCTTTGGATTTGTCTGACTTGGAAGCCCCCACTTCCAGTTGTCCCGCCCTCCTGGACCAAACGAGTGTACATCTTACATGTACTGACCGAGGCCTTATGTCACTCTAAAATGTATAAAGCCAAGTTGTGACCCAATTACCGTGGGCATATGTTCTCAGAATCTTTTGAGGGCCGTGTCACAGGCCATTAGTCACTCATATTTGGCTCAAAATAAATCTCTTCAAATATTTTAGAGTCTAAATCTTTCCATCAACAAGGTCCTGTAGATGTTTTGTTAGATTTATACTTAGTATTACATTTTGTGATTGTAAATCGCGTTATATACAAATATAATTTGATTTTTGTGTGTTGATCTTGTATTCTGTGATCTTGCTTAGTTCATTAGTTCTTGTATTTCTTAGGACTTTGTATGTAAACAATAAAGTTAAATGCAAATATAAAGTTTTTTTTTTTTCATTTCCAATCTCTGCCTTTTATCCCCTTTTCTTATGTTACTGCACTAGATTTCAAGTACTACATTGAATAGGAGTGGTGAGTGTGCACATCCTTATCTTGTTTTCCATTTACTGGCTCTTAACATGGCCTTCGAGGGTCTGTATAGTATCAGAACCAAGGGAAGAATTCAGCTTTTTAAAATTGTAAACTATGTCCTTCCAATTTTAATTGTAACTTATGTCCTTCCACTTTCCCACCCTTTGAATTCAGCTACACTCCCAGCACTTCGGGAGGCTGTGGCAGGCAGATCGCTTAGGCCAAGAGTTTGAGAGCAGCCTGGTCAACATGGTGAAATCCTGTCTATATTAAAAATACAAAAATTAGCCAGGCATGGTGGCATATTCCTGTAGTCCCAGCTATTTGGAGGCTGAGCACAAGAATCACTTGAACCTGGGAAGCGGAGGTTGCAGTGAGCTGAGATCACACCACTGCATTCCAGCTTCAGCAAGAGAATGAGACTGTCTCCCCCCAAAAAAGTGAAACTAAGGCAGACAGCTGTAAGCAGCACTGAATTACTTATTACACAAATGTAACTGCTAAACACTAATCCAGTGACTGACAGGGAAGAGGTTAGAAGGGGAAATGGTAGTGAGACAACATGTAGGCACTATTTTCTTTACAGAAAATATAAATTTCAAATGGTTCACCACGTTGAAAATGCAGTTACTAATTTCACATGCAGAAAGAATGCATATTTGTGGTAACAACTGGTAGAGAATTACCTTTGTATGAGAAGAGTTCTTTCACAGAAGATATTAATCAGCTGCTTATTACTCATGGCAGAATAAAATGAAAATGACTGTAATATGAAAGATTAGACTAGATATGGAGAATAATTTACTAGCAGAACTATTCAAAAGGTTAAAAGAAGCTATTCACAATACCTTTCTTTCTAAACACTGCTAGATTGTCAATTCCTCCACATTCCCACTTGCCCAAAGCAGCAATGACAAGTCTGCAGATGCCTCTGTAAACTGTTGCTAAAAAAATTTAAATATATTTATTATAAACAAATACCATAAATATTTGCTGTGAACAGTTGCTATTTTAAAAACTGATTTGTGTCTAAATGAATTTTAATTTTCAAAGTCTCTATTTTACTGAAAGATGTGAAATACTGTTGAAGTTAGCATAATGGTTGTTTATCATAAAAAGAGAAAAATAAAAAATTCTAACTAAGGTAATGATAGAATAGAAAAACTGTAATATTTTTGTTTCTAAGGACAGTTTTAATTTTCTTACTTTTGAAAATTAAAAATAACTCAGACACTACAATCCCTTTAATCCCTATTCTATATGATCCTTGAATATTCTTTCATGTAATTTACTATTAAAAGGTTCAATAAATATAACTTGCATAAAAGTTAAATTTAGGTTTCATAACTCATATTTACCTTAAGGCATTTTATAGGTAAAAATCTCAATTATGTCCTACATTAAAACAAAAATTTTACAAAGATATATTGCTGAACTTTGGAGAATATTTTAAGCAAGATTCATCAGAAGGACATTATAGCAGAGAAAATAATTCAAATAGCCTACTCAAATGTACAGCAAAATCCAATTCAACAATATAAACAAAGTCAAAATAATCTGCTTCTGTCAGCTACATATGCTGTGTGTTTCCTATACCAGTAAGGAGTTAACTGGAAACTGAGTTCTTAAACAATATATTTATTATTAGTATAACAAAACGAAGTGAGAATCTTCATACACAAGTTTAATAAATCATCACAATTTATTTAACAAGGTTATTCTACATTAGAGTTTATGTGTGTGTGTGTGTGTGTGTGTGTGTGTGTGTGTGTGTGATATGAAGAGACTGATGTACAATCAATAAGTCTTAAATCTCTCTTCCATGGATTTCCCCCATCTTCCCACTTAGCAGTAAAAGGCATTTTTAGGTTTATATAAACACATTCTTTACAACTGCCTTCTTAACAGAAAATTACTGTAGTATATAAATAGCACTGGGCATTTAGTAAGTAAGTTACAGGCCAAGAAGTTCAATTGTGCAGTTTTGAAATCTAATGTCAAAAAGTTTTGAAACCTTAAGACTGGGTGATCTGTAATGTTTCCAACATGTCTTCGACTGCCTTAAGAGAATATTTGGTTTCCTTCTTACTTCGACCTGCAAACTAATTAAAAAAAAAAAAAAAAAAAAAAAGATCAATTAGGCTCAATTCCAGTGGCAAGTTCAAAATGACAATCTTACCTTCACATTGCTAATGAAACTCAACATTGACTACTTTATCACTAGTAGGAAATCAAATACAGTCTTTGTTTTTTCAGAAAGAATAAAATTTGGGTATTAAGGACATATTCCTTTAAAGTCTCACCTTCAGTTTAAGTGTACAGAGATTTCACTGAACACTTGACCAGTTTAAGTGTTTATGTAGTATAATAACCTATAAAATCATAGATTTGAAACTATCCTATTCAGGCTCAAAAATATGAAATAAGAAGAAAAATTTTAAAACGCAATTTAGCTTATATTTGTGTAGGAATGTGAACCATTTCTACTTTTCTAACCTCTAAACAAATTTTTACAATTTCAAACAAAGGTACAACATAAATATTTTATCAAACATTTTAAAGTTGCAAGTACTCTCTAAAATTATTTAAAGTAGCTAATAACTTTTTTAAGTTTCCAGATTTATTAGTTAACTAAATGATACGGTTCTGCAAAGAGTTGTCAAGTAAAACTCTACATTACATATTAAAACAATGTAAACATGTTTTAGAGTATGCATTTCTACTTTAATAATTGTAATTTACATTATAAAACTCATTGGGATTGGATTTTACTATGAAAACAAAATATAATTCATCTAGTATATACACAAAATATACCCTATATTTGTGTTTTTAAAAGCAAATTCATGGCATATTGAATTCGATATTGTATACATAATCACTGGAGGGAAACATTAAATACCACATGCTGATTTCAAAATGAGTTTTTTAACTGGACTGACAATTCCCATCATATATCAGTCTGATTTAAGAAAAAAAATTTACTAGATAATTAAGTGTTCCTTGGTGGAGATGGGAGAAAGTTTATTTTTTATATATATATATATATATATATATATATATATATATATATATATATCCCATTTTTTCCCAGTTAAATATGATTAAAATACTTGGTACAAGCAACATGCAGTGTTTTCAAGTTAGCATCAAACCATTCAATACATTTTCAAGTGACTGATCATTTCTTCAAATAACAATGCTGTCTCAAGCCCTTAGTACTTGATTTATGATGTGTTTCTCATCTTTTGTAATTAACTTAATTTGGCAAACTTCCCATAACCTGTTCAGAAAGATTAAGTGATCAAGCACAGGTAACATCACAGAAGCAACAGGCTTCAGGAATTGGTAACCTGTCTCTGACCCCTCTGGCTACAGCTTAACATTATGATTCCCCCACTTCTTAAACTCTAAACCATTAGATTAGTTTCTGTAGTTCAATACTGATTTGAAAAAGTAAATAAAGGATGCTTCTAGGGGAAATGCCAGAGGAAAAAAAGCTTCTTATAAAATCAAGATCACCTTGCCTTTCAAAAGGAATCACTAATTTAAGGAATTCATATGTTAAATATGAATATAACAGCAATATCACCTTTAAGGCTTTGTCTTTTTATAATTTCCCCTGGGACTAAAGGTTGTGAGGCCTGCTTATTACTTCTGTTATCCAGTTAATAAATTCACTTTCACAAGGATTTACCAGGAACCAGAAAGCTTTTTCTTTTACTACCATTTATGCAACATAAATAGGAATGGTCTTAATCAGACACTTAAAGGTCTAATTCTGAGAAAAAATTTTATGGGTTGGCAGAGGGGTACAGAACAGGACACCACATACAGTACCATTACCACATATTAACATTTATTCTAATGCTTTTAAATAGCAAAGTAAAAATAAAAAATTCTGTAGAGCTAAAACCATAACATGTATTTTTATATATAGTATTTTCTTGGTTTGTACTTAAACATAAAAATAACACAGTGTGATCTTTTAAAATTAGCTAATTTAAAAGAGTCACCTAAGATGGTGTCAACATTATTCACAACCAGTGCAATTTACAATAAATCAAATGAATGTACCTGGGTCAGAACAAATAAAAGAAGGTTGGAAATACAAATCTATCACTTCAAATTTTACCTGACATGCAATTATTCCGTCTATTCCAGAATTGCATGGCAATTTAACTGATTAAGTCAGAATCATTTTTTCCCTCAAATCATGATTTAATTTTCTGTTTCCCAAAAGGATAGTAACAGAATCACCACTGCAATCATAAATAACATATAAATCACTAGCACAGACAGATTTACCAGTGCACCAAAGAAACCTTTATCTGGAAAATTATTTTGAGTAGGTTTACATTAAAATTTTTCAAGAGCATTAATCAAATGTGTCTGCCTCCAGTGAACATGCTAAACCAATTACCTAACTGAAGAGCAAATAGCCATATTCTGTTTCATCATTAAATGGAAACCAAAAAAAAAAAGCAGTTATTGAAACCTAATTTTCCCTAATTTATAAATATCTAGAAAAATCACATGAAATATTATATACTCAATACTGGTTTATATGCCTAGATATGATTAAGAAATTCTCCCTGAGATCCCAAAGATTTATCTAGTTATCAAAAATATCACTCTCTAAAACTTACACTCTTCTACATTACCCACCAATTCTGTATTTTTATTTTCATACATTTAAATTCTCTATAACATCTATAAGAAAACTCACCAGAAACACACACACACACACACACACACACACACACACACACACACACAAAGAACAACCAAATAATAAAAACTTGCTTATCAAAGTCAGAGGTCAGTGATTCATCCATTGTAATAACTAAGACACCTTGGGCTTAAATTTACCTTTATACAATTCGTGGAAAATAACATGGCTAAAATAATAGGATATATGAAATGGACTATAGATGAATGAATCTCAAAAACATGCTGAGTGAAAGTCAGACAAAAAAGAGCATGTAACCTATGAACTCATTTATACAAAGTTCTAGTATAGGCAAAACTAATGTTTGGTGATAAAAATCAAATCAGTGCTTGTCTGTCTCCTAGTGGGGGATGAGGATGATTGCAAAATGACAGAAGGAAACTTTCTTGGGTGATGAAAATGCTATTTTGAGTCAGGGGCAGGCAAGGGGGTGTACACATTTGTCAAAACTCAAAAGTGCATATAATTCAAATATATGCACTTATTACATGTAAATTACACCTCAATAACATGGATAAAAAGGAACTTAAACAAAAAGGATGTGATTTAATGAGTTATACAATAGTGTAGTAAATTGCCAAATTACTACATATGTTTCTTTTCCCACTGAGAGGTGAAGTCTGGGTTAACGATGAGACTTGCTTTGACTCATGGGATATTAGCAAAATGTGACACATCCAGAGGCTTACAAAGCACATGGACATTGGAGCTTGCCTGTTTGCTGTTCTTCAAACCCTAAGATCACAATATGAATAAGCCCAAGTTAGAATGCTGAATGAGAGACATGGTCCAGTACCCCTAGCTGACAGAGAGAGCCAACTGTCAAGCTATTGTTTAAGTGAGGCCATTGACCACCAGCACACTGCAGAAATATGAATAAGCCCAGGCAAGACTAGCAAAATTACTCAACCGATCTCAAGCCTACCCACAGAATCATAGTAAGTTGGTATTTAAAACGACTAAGTTAGCAAAAAGTAATGGATAAAGATACTTATGAAATCTGATTCACAGGGGGAAAAACAGAACCTTTGTAAAGAAAGTATTGAATATGAAAGCTTCAAAAGCACCAAGAAAATTTACTTAAAACTTGTTATTTGTGTCAAGAGGTTAAAATAAATTTTTCATGAGAGGTGATTCCCAGTTGAGTATTGGAAGTTGCTACATAGAAACCTGACATGACCAATTGAGAGGTATGTTATCTTCTGAGGCTGGTATCTAAAATAAATGAGAAAAATTATTTGTATTATCCTTCCCTATGGAGTGAAGAAAAGGCAGATCACACTTTCAATAAAGATGTGGAAAACATCTCTAGGTACAATGGAGTTTACGGTGCAAAACTCAAAGAACAGCAAAAATGATGCTATCAGAGTTCTTTCCAAAGAACACTGAGACTTTATAAATAATGAAAATCAGACATTATGAAAAGAAAATTCGATCTAATAACATACAATTAGAAAGAGAGACAGAATGGCAGGGAGGGCAAATGTTACCAAGGAACAAGATTTGGTTCTATGAACAATGGCTGAAAATACTGAAATAATAGATTGATTTCCTAGTGGTAAAGTGTATCTCATAAGGCAGGGAAAAGCATGTCTACCCAGAGATCTAATCAAGGGAATCTTGTAACACTGAAGAGACAGGTAGAAGGAAAAACAACAATGCAAAACTCTTGAATTCAGTTACTATTGGGAGCTTTATGTCTGAAATGAAGAGAGAAACATGGGGGGGTAGGGTATCAATTGTTTATATAATAAAATAATTGAGGAGGTAGTTGGAAGCTATGACAACTTCAGAGACATTTACACCTATCTTAATAGAGGCAATATACTTTAACCCTTAAGAGTACCAACCCTGGAGTCAGACTGCCTGGGTTTGAAAACAACTGTCATTAACCAGCTGTGTCACCTTGGGAAAGTTATTTAATCTTTCCATGCTTTAATCTCCTTGTTTACAAAACAAGAAGAGTGCCTAGGTTATAATAAATTCTTTATGTTTGCTTTTATAATTAGTTGTTATTATTGCAATGATCAGAGCAGCTATAATAAAGTGAACTTAAAAACTATGATTAACAAACACAATGTAATGCATATTACTGTGATTTGGTATAAATTATGTTTTAATTTCTTTAATTCTCAGAATATTTTATTATGTCCACCTTGCAGAAGAAAAGCTATGCCAAAAGATGTTATATAATTTATTCAAGTTTGCATAGCTAATAAATATCAGAGTCAAAACTTGAACCCAGATAACATATATCTAGCATCTGTAATCTTCTTTTGCTACAATGAACTAGTTTCCATGGACAGGACTCATGATAGACTACAAAGATGAACAGAAACACTGGATATCCATAGGGGGAGCAACTGACTCCCTATTTCATATCATACATAAAAATCAATTTAAGGTCCTATGTAGTGGCTCACACATACAATCCCCAGCACTCCACTGGGAGGCTGAGACAGGATAATTACTTGAGGCCAGGAGTTTGAGACTAGCCTGTGCAATACAGCTAGACCTCATCTCTACAAAAATTTAAAAATTAGCTGGGCATGGTGACATGTACCTATAGTCCCAACTACTTGGGAGGCTGAGGCAGGAGGCTCACTCAACCCAGGTGATTAAGGCCGCAGTGAGCCATGATCATGCCACTGTACTCCAGCCTGGGCGACAGAACCAGATTCTGTCTCCCAAAAAAAAAAAATAAATAAATAAAATAAATTCCGAATGGATTGTGAATTAAACATGAAAGTAAAAGAATAGAAATTCTGAAAACACACAGAATTACCTTTATGACCATGAACACCAAAAGATTTCTTAAAGAGAACACAAAAAAACAAAAATCATAACAGAAATGACTGAGGAATTTGAACACATTTCATTTCAGAACTTCTATTCATCAAGATCATATGACGGCAAAAAAGTAAGGAATTATACATATTTCCTTATACATATAACTAAAAAAGGGCTCATAAGCAAAAAAGTTAAAGAAATACGTCATGCAAACCAATGAGAAAAAGATTTCACGAAAGCGGGTATCTGAATGGCAAATAAATGATCATCAGGGGCATTCAAAATAAAACCATGAAATATTACTCTACACATGTACCAGAATGGCTATAATTACAAAGACTGACAGAATCAAATGTCGGTGAAGATGTGGGACTATCAGAACTCTTGAATACTGCTGGTGGGAGTAAACTAATTTGGAAAACTGCCTTTACCTACTAAAGTTAAATATATACATATTCTATGACCCAGTATTTTCACTCAAAGGTATACAGGACTGCACAAACAATAAGAACTGCACATACATGTACACTGAAAGACCTATACAGCAATATTCAGTGTAGTTTATTCACAATAGTCCAAACAGAAAATATTCCAAATGCATATCAATAACTGATGAAATTATAACATTCATACAATAAACTACAGTAGAAGAAAATGAATGAACTACAGACATAAAGAAGGATAAAACTCATAACTGAATAATGAAAGAAATATGCAAGACAAAAATGAATACATACTGGCTGATTCCATAAACTATATGTTTATAAGTGAGTACTCTTAAGGAATATAGGAGGAGAAATTGAGAGGATTTACAAAGAGGGCTTTAGGATGCTACAATGTTTGTATTTATTAGCCTGGATACATTTACCTTTTATTAGTCACTGAAATGTATATTTATGACTTGCCTTCTTTACTCTGTTGTAATTCTTATTTCTATGTTATAATTTAAAACAAATTGATTTTAAAACATAGTTATGTCTGAAAGCACTCTGAGAATTTAACTGTTTTTATAAATATCTTAACAATGATGTAGTATGCATAGTGTTAGTTTTATATTACACAAATCTTACCTTTAAATCACAAACACACAGGCGCCCCCAAGCATACTCTGTGTGGAACTCCATTACAGATCTGAGCTATCCCAAACTACATTTGAAGACACTCAGCCTCACTAATATTTATAAATACTGTGACTTACAATATGCCAACAAAACAAACATGCTCTATAACAGGTAACAAAAATACACAAAGGTGACTTTCAATGATGTGATTACGCAGGCACTACATTTTAAAAATCTCCTCAATCTTCTCCAACCAGAAGGGCAAAACGAGCAACAAAAACAAAAAAACCCAACATAACAGAACCCAAGCCCACAAATGACATTTTCAAAAAACTGGTTAACAGTCAATTTTCTAAACCCTAGAATGTGACTATGTCATCAAGAGCAGCGCAACCTACAAAAGATTAACTGTGTGGTAGGAGAAATAGAAAATAGTAGAGGACAACCTACTACTCCACAAGAAACCAAAAACCAAACAAACTATCAATTCCTAATCTATTAAACAAGAGAACCTGAGTTGATGCATCTGCCAATGGCCTAGAAAAGTCTTTATGAGCTCCAAAACAAAGATAAGTGTTAAAAACTGCTCACAAATATGAGACAAATGTAACTAATATCTTAAAATCTCTAAAATATCTAGCAAACACCCTCTTCCAAAAGGACAAAACCTAATCCCTGAAGAAAAACAATTAAAAACTGAAACCAAACTGAATAGGGCAGAGACACCAGGATAAGAAGGAGGGATGGTTCAGATACCGAGGGGTAAGGAAAGTAGTGATGTCCAGAGACAGCAATCCCAGAAGAAAACAAAACAAAAAGGAAGAAACACAAACTGTAACAACAATATGTAACATTTAAAGCTGAGACCGACACCTCAGAATTCAAGATCTTGAGAGCTCTAGCATTGAAGAAGGGGGCTGAAACCAGAAAATCTGTCTGAGTCACACTCAATTCTCAGTTCTAAGAAAAACTGGCTATTCAAGAAGGTCATACTTGAGTTCTCTTTAGCAAAAAGGAGGCAGCCATAGAATAGCCAAGCTGGGAAAGTTACCCTAACCTATCTCCAACTCCCCACCATTCCATAAACATCTCCTCCTAACAGTCCAGGAAAACTACCTCATTTAAACACAGAGAACAAGAAGAATATGAATCAATTTCATAAAAAATTATGGAGAAAACACAAAATACAGAAAACAACAAAATAATTTGAAAGAAAATGAATAAAGGACATAGAAAAAGGAAATGTAATCTACTTATTACTGAAATCCTGAAAAAGAAAAGCAGAGAAAAAAATGTTTGTAATTCTAAAAGCAAATTTTCTCAAATAGAAGGGCTAAACTGGGGTACTAAATGGGAGTTCTGTGTATTTGGGAAAACTGACCCAAGAATAATCAATATAACAAATCATAGTAAGACTATTGGATTTTAAAGATAAAGAAAAAACTCCGTTGGGTAACCAGACAAACAGTCTAAATCACTTATGATAAAAAGCAAGTCAAGATGGCATCATACTTCTTGACAGCAACATTTTAGTCTAAAACAGAATGAAACAGTTGGGCATGGTAGTGGCTGCAGCTGTAGTCCCAGCTACTTAGGAGACTGAGGTAAGAGGATCACATGAAGTCAGGAGTTCAGGGCCAGCCTGGGCAATATAGCAAGACCTCATCTCTATTAAAACAAAACAAAACAAACAAAAAAAAAAACAAAAAATCTGAACAATATGATTAAGACATTTAGGTAAAGTACCAAAGCGTATATAAAAAGCCAAACTGTCTTTTAAAAATAAAGGCTATAGACAAATAGCCATAAACATACAAGATGTAAGAAGATGTGTTTTCCCATGAGCAAATTTCTCATGAAAAATAAGTTCCTAAAAAAATTTGCTAAGGATGAGCTTTAGAAAACTAAAATACAAATGGGGAAGTTTCAGTAAAAGATCTGGAGTATAAGCAGACTGCATAAACTCCGTTACGCAGTTTAACATTTTTTAAAAAGCCTAACTTACTTTTAGGCATTTCTTCCTTCTTTTCTATTTCTTGAGATACCTATGATTAATAATACACCCACATACCCACTCTGCTTCTGAAATGCAACATATTTTTTTTTATCCTTTCTGAGTTTTTAGAATTACTTTGCATTTGCCAAATGCATAACCACTGAAGTTTCCAGATGGTAAGGCTAATTATTAAATAATAATACTAACGGATTCCTCGAGGGGAAAAAAAGGTAGTCCTAAAACTACAAATTAATTCTACACAATTAAAACTCATTTGACAAAGCCCCAAAGGTGTATATATATATATATATATATATATATATATATCTCCAATGCTAGACATCTGACTTTGTAGAAATAAAAGTAACTAAGAAATACATTAACTAATCTACATAGCGAAACGATCAATAAATACTGACCTGATAAGCTCTGTTTATTTGACTAGCCGCCCAACTAGCGTATTTCATGTTGTCCTTTTTCGTTTTTGCACTTGCTTTTGTATTAGAAGCAATATGACTTGCTGACTAAAAACAAGCAAACAAAAACATCAAAAGCAAAATTCCTTTTTTGCTAGTCAAGATAATAAAAAACATAAGGGACATGGTTGCAATGGGATGATAATAAAGAGTGTTTAAAAACTGTACCAAAATAATTTTTAATACAAACATGAAGTTGAATATTAGTGCTTAAAAATGAAAATATATTTTAAAATACAGTATAATCCAAAATAACAGAAAGAGAAAGGATATTTTAAATAATACCTAAAATTATTTAATCATGTATCTACAACAGCCCTTAAAGATAAAATCCTGTATAATTTAAATAGAGAAGCTATGGAAGAACACTTTAAAAACGAAAAGCACTTTACCAGTGTAGGATATTACTGGTGTTATTTCTTTTTATTGAATTACATAAGCTTATCAATGTCAGAATCATAGAATTATCAAATATTTATAGAAAAAGCAAACTCAAAAATAATTTAGCCTGATATCCTACATTAATAGGTAAAAGAAATTTAAGTCCAATAGGTGAGCTTTAACTTGACCAGGGCAAAATAATGAGTCTTTGAAATAAAGAAGATCCTTATCTCTAATCCATTTCTCTTTTCACTATACCATGAGTTTTCAAACTGTGTTTTGAAAGAGAACCAATTATCTCTGCAATTTGATCCACCCTCTCTTTTTTAAAAATGTATTTAAATGAGGAGTCTTAATCTGGGATCTGTGAAAGAATCCATAAAACCCCAAAACCATATGCTAATTTAAAATATATATATATCACTGTGAAGAGAAAGATAAAACTTTAATTGTACTCCTTAATATATTTTACTCTTAAAATAATCTGGCCATGTGATTCGCAAAAAGGTTAAGCCTTTCTTTTATACCTAGCCTGTGCTATAGACTCTTGCACATATGTCTCCCTCTCTGCCAGTGAAGAATCTATATTCCAAACTCTGATTTTTATAACTCTATGTCTTTAATGTCAGCTTCTTGTTATGAATTTTAGTAGATGTAGAGGTTAAGAGAAAAACTCTGGAGTTAACTTCCCGGGCTGGAAAACCCACTCAATCATTTGTGACCATCTTTGGGCAAATTAATTAAATCTGTGTCTCAGTTTCACCACCTGAGGATAGTATAGAACACCTACTCAATAGCTGGTGAGCTATGAGGATTTGTTTATTTAAAATAAAAATGGAGCTCAGAACAATGCTTGGCACATAAAGTGCTATATATAAGCTATTAATAATTTGTTATATATTATATAGTTTTATTAAAATTAGTATTTATTTAATAAAGAGATACTGGTACTATAGTATATATTCAAGCCACTGCAACTGACTTTGCTAGAATCCAGGAAAATTTTCTTGAAATTTCTTTGAACCATTTTCTAACCATATTTTGCCATTCCTTTCTAAATCTATTTCATTTTTGTTTCTTCCTACCTCCGTTTCTTCAATCAATTCTTTTTCACTGAGCCACAACAAGAAGACACTCATCAAGAAGTCCATCTCAAGAACAGGATAAATAAAAAAGTCAAAGAACTGACATATTAAAGTTTATTTTTCCCAGACTTTTGTATTGTAGAGAGGTGCTCACTTTATATATATGTTTTAAAGGTCAGCAAATTCTTCTACTATTTCCCATAGCGCTTATTAATTGACTTTTCTAAGCTCTGCATTTGGCATACTTAAACAGCAGATAATTATATACTTCCCACAATTTCCAAACTATTTTTCTACACCATAAAAAATGTTTTAATTTGATATAGTAGGGATTTTATTTCTAATGTCTTTTACTGGCATAGTTTAAAAATACTTCATACAACTATAATTTAGGGAAGAAATACAATAATGTTGGGCATAAACCCAAGAATAACAAAACCAAAAATCATATTTTTTTTCCTGTTACTATTTAATTTTATAAGGGCAGATTTCAATTCTGATATAATAAAGGATATTTTACCAAAAAATGTTAAACAGCTAAGCTGTAGGAACATTAAAAAATAAATGTGGCTTACAAGTTATTGCTCAGAATTAATTATAGAAAAACAGCATATGCTTATCAATAAAATACATAAAACAGGAGAAGAGTGATTGGAGGGGATAGTTAAGTGGATTTTAAGTGACAGATTTTTAAAAATAACATTAAACATGCACCTCAACTCACCATATAAAGCCCAAACAAAGCTCTCATATTTCTGTTGTTCAGTTTCAATGCCTGTGCAAAATACTTTCTTGAAAGTTCGAGGTTTTCAAGTCCACCTTGGGTATATTTAACCTGTTAAAAATTGCAGAGTGCTGAAAACTGTTTATTTTACTACTTTGAAATATAGCATGGTTTCATCATACCATAGGCATTAAGTAATCGAAAGAGATATTCTCTGTAAACAAATACAAGATGTTAAAAGAATTCACCTAAAGATTTTTAAGGCTAATCTAAAACTTAAAACATAACCTTCCCCAAAAAGCTATTACGTTCTACGAACACTGAGATGACTGAGTTGTTTCTAAAACAAAAATGCTGCCACAATAAGAAGCCAAAATAATTTCTATTTCAACTGCCTTGTAAATGCCTCATTTCACATTATATTTTCTATTACTGGTATTATAAATGTGAACTTACATACTGAATTGTCCTTTTATAACCTGCACAGACAGTCTTTAACAATGAAGTCTTTCTAGCCGTACAGCATTCAATTGTACTGCTATTCTTAACAGTACCTGAATTAAATAAATACTTCCTATGTCCCAACTGGCTTTAATACAAATTCCCTAGAATATGAATTTAGCAACCACAATCACTGTAAATGTCTCAGAAGCCATTAGGTAGTGACAAATGTGATATACTATAATTACGAAAGAAAACAGTACACAAATATAAAAATATAAGGAATATCACTGTTTTAAGTATGACTTAATTGAAGTCAGTATTTCCATTGCAATGTTAAACTTTTATTCCTACAACTCAATGTTCATCAGATGTTTTTAATATTTATGTACTTGCTTAACATGAAAGAAATATTCTTAGTTCCATAATACTGAATAGTAACCAAAATAAAATTATATGCCATTGTTTGAAAACACTTACTTCAGCATACTGCTGACAGTATAAGTGGTTGTGTGGATTAGTCATCATTAGTTCCTCTAAACAAAAGGCTGCTTTTGCATAGCTAAAAACACATCAAAAAGAGAAATTAATTTAAAAAATTACAAATTTTATCTTAGTTACATCTTGAAATGATTTAAAAACAATTGTAGTGATGTTAAACAATTTATTTCCAAAATAATTTACACAGTTTTATTAATAAAGTATCTGTCATCTGAAACTCATATCAATGACATTAAATTTTTTCATGAAATTAATCAACATAGACTTAAATCTTAAAGCTGCCTCCAAACAATCAATAGATACCGCATTTTAAAAACTGCGTCACTACTACTACATCCCATCATGACTAATAACAACGGCTTCAACACCTTGAATGAAGTTGTACATAAAACAACTTCTGGAAGTTGACTGATGATTTAATAAAATATTTGAACAGCTAATGTTTAAGGAGAAAATAAACATTTCTTAAATATTCTCTACTCACTAAAAATTCTTCACAGGCATGTATTTAGCAACAAATTCTATTACAAAGATTTCTCTCATTACTTCAGTTTACTGTCAAATACCAAATTAAAATGAAGTAGAATTAAAATTTCTACCCATGAAAAACAGATCAAGTTGGTTTTCATATATACTCTGCTATTATTAAATCTGTGGTAGAATAAACAAAAATCTTGCTGAAAACCTAAGGAGACAGAACTGCCAGAAAGGGCTCTGGAAAAACAGTTTTAAAACATCTGACTATAAAACATTAAATATATTTTATATGTTTAATGCCATGTTGACTATCTATCCTCACTAACTACAGGAAATCCTAATAAATATGGGTGTTAGAAGATTTCTTCCCAGTGAGGAAGTGATGACACTCAACAAAAAGAGAGTATTTTTGGCATTTGTTACCAATATACAAAGGTATCAACCTTTACACTAATGCCTGATACACTTACTTTTAAAAATAATATTCCTGTTTCACACATGTATACTAATAGCAGCTTTTACTAAATGCTTATGTGTTATTGTTCCACATGTGTTACATGTATTAACTCATTTAACCAAAACCCTAGGAAGAAAGAAATTATTATCACCATGCTAGAGCTGAGAATACTGAGGCACAGAGATGTAAACTGAATCCCAGGCTGTGCCACTCCAGACAGCCTGTACTCTTTAACCATGACATATGGCATTACACATCACATCGAAAAACTGAAGATGTCAATGGTAACATAAAAATGTATATAGCAGTCACACCCAAAGGGATTGAGGACATAAATGCACCCTGTTAATTACCTAATAATTACAGCATTTTAGATTTATGAAGGAATACACACAAACACACACACACACACACACACACACACACACACACACACACACATACATATGTACTCTCATCCAAGATCATGCAGCTATTTAGCCCTTTCTATTTTTAAATTCAAACCCTAGCGCTGGTTCTTGACACAGGATAGGTATTTAATAAGACTGAACAAATGACTGAATAAATGTCTGGAACAAAAGTATTATGACTACCTACCTAGTATCTATTTATCACTCTGAAAGGCAAAAATTGTCTCTATCTTAAATACTTTATCAAAAGACAGTTCTCCTGTAAATGTGTTCCTCTAATTATTAACAGTATGATGACAAAAATTCATATTGATACTAAGAATAAAAGTTCTTAGTGATTTAAATGGGTTGAGCACAACTGTGATACTGGTTCTTATATAGCATAAAGCAAGACAAAACAGGGAGGTAGTAGTAGCTCTTAGGGTAAAATGAATACCAAGATATTTTCTCAAAAATTAATTAGCAGCACATATAAGAAAGAAAAGGATTCCTTCCCCTACTTTTGCAAAGTACACTATCAAACTAATTTTGTGAATAAAATATAAATTAAATAAAATTAGAGCTAGAAGAAGCTCAAGAGATGGTCTAGGCCAGCCTTTCTAGGCCATTGTTAGGCCATACAGAAAGTAACTATTTCCTCAACCTTGTCAGGGATAATACATAGCAAGTACTATCCTAGGTGCACAGAAAAGTTATTCATTATATACAGTGTACTCAACAAGACTAGGACTAGAGAAGTAAAAATAATTTGAATCTACTTAAAAGAGAATAACAATTGCTATTATTATGTTGGAGTCAGTAGTAGAACTAAATAAAGTTTTCTTCTCTTCCTTACAAAAGTATATATAACTAAAAGTTATAGTATTTGGAACTGTATATTGCTTTACCAACATCACGATTTTTCCTTACAGAACTGTGATAATTTCCTTTGATATGGAATTTTAGAAGGCTGGACCTATAAAAAGGAACTATAATCACAATCATAATGAATGTATAATACTAACTGTTCCTTGCTATATAGTATCTAGTTTTAATTACAAATCAAGTAAAATAAATTTGTGTCTTTCATAATGTGAATGTATTTTTGCTTACAAAGGTTGAGAATCCCTTAACCAAAATGCTTGGGACCGGAAATGTTTCAGATTTCATAATTTTTAGATTTTAAAATATTTGCATTATCTTACTGGTTGAACATCTCTAACGCAAAAATCCCAGATCCAAAATGCTCCAATGAGCATTTCCTTTGAGCATCATGTTGGCACTCAAAAAGTTTCAGATTTTGGAGCACTGTAGATTTCAAATTTTCAGGCTATAGATACTTAACCTGTAATACGTATTGGTAGTACTAACACATAAAAATTAATTGTTTTAAAAATTTAAAACAAGTGTCTCAATATGGTCAATGAGTGTAACATACACCCATGGAATAACTAAAAACAAACTATAATTGATAAGTCAGAAACAAACTTATAAAAATAACTTGAAAAATATAAAAAGGTTATGTGGCACAATTCTTTATCTTTTTCTCTATATAGAAACACTAAACAGAGCTATATGAAAATTATACTATGGATATTTCTTTGGAGTTAAAAATTCCAGAGCTGAGCATAGTGGCACACATGTAATGCTAGCTACACAACAGGCTGAGGTGGGAAGAGCACTTGAGCCCAGGAGTTCAAGTCCAGCCTGGGAAACATTGTAAGACCCTGTCTCTTAAAGAAAAAAAAAAAGTTTCAGATCTAAGCTACCAAAGCTGCCTGCGACCTATTATACTCTAAAAAGCTTATAAATGTTCATATGCAGAAAAGAATACTGAATGTTAAATATATCTAACATTTTCTAAACTGCTACAGTTTTGCCACTGTGTCTACAAGACCAGTGCAAAACTGATCTCCTAGGATAATTTAACATCCCACCAAAAAATTCCTGCCTACTATAATGACTTGTTCAAACGTGTCAAATAAATCAAGTAAACTAATTCTAATTTTCAGTTTCAAAAAATCTGTAGATATGTATTTATACTCACCGAAACATAAATATTCCTTCTAAGTGTTCAATTAGAAAAAAAATGGTCATTTTGTAACTAACTGGCTTTAAGACCAAGAAGACTTTTGTGCTAATGGATAAAAGGGTAGGCTGACCATATTGTCATTTCTGCTAAAAAAAAATATTTTTCAGGTGTTCCCACATCTTTGTATTTCTTGATTTTTTTTGAGATTTCTGAGCTCATTTATCTTAAGTGTACATTCAATTCTAT